ATGCTGCCACACTGGGGTTTAAATTGAGGAATGGAACTTTTTTGGATTTATTGTTGTTGATTCTAGATGTGAGTTGCAGTTTTGTCTTAATTTGATCAACTTCTTGTAACAGTTTACTTATATCTATTTGGTCAAATATGGCAGCGGACTCATTCTCATCAAGCAGGGAGATAAGAGTTTCAATCATGCTGTCAACCAAACTATGGGTGTTTTCCTTTTGTCCAGATATGTCCTTAGTATATAAATGAATTTATATTGTATGTTCATTTTTGTAATAATCTGTACCATTTTTGGGCTGTTATTTAAGCCAGTATTTCATGTAACATGTTGCCTCATTGCAAATGTAGGATATGTGGACCATGGATGTGTCAGGGCTTGGGAGAATGCTGTGCTAATGGTCTGCCTCTGTGCCTTATTACTAAAATACTGTTGCAAGTCTGTGGCCATGGATTGTCAGCTGAGAGCTGAATGGAACTTTTTCCATCCATTTGCCTGCCCTAGGATGTGTTTCTGGGTTTGTATATAATTTTTAGGAGTTTGGAATGTGCATGCACGGCCCACGTCTGGTCAGGTGGGCGAACATGAAGGATTGGGTTCCTGCGCACTCACGGGTGGTTGAGTCCTGCCCAGCGGACTCTGCAGATGGGCGGAAGGTGACATGCTGATTGATGACATCATCAATGTACCATGCCAACACACAGAGTCCCTCCGGGATAACTGGTGCCATTATTGCCTTATCAAAGCTAGAGCATTTTTGGCCAGTTGTATGGCTGCTAAATGATGCATGGGTGCTCAGAGGTGAGTTGTAAGATTTATTATTGAACATCTTGAGTGTGGATTATAGACAAGGATAGATGGATTAGTGTGGTTTGTATTTATTTTTAGGGAGTTAACTTTGGGTCTGTTTGAAGAGGACTAATACTCCCAGAATGGCGATTAGCACCGATTAGGTCTGTTCAGACTGGCAACTTATAATACTGCTACAACGATGGAGTACAGTTGGTGTGAGTTATAGCAGGTATGCTTATAAGGATGGTCCATGGTGGGACTTTAATTTGTTCCTATTTGTATCATACAAATGAGTATATCTAATCCATACTGTAGATAGTCTTATTATGTTTTGTTGTGTTTGTTGCAGTTTAAATGGACTTTGGTTGATCTAATGGACCATTATTGAAGTTGTGATACATCATCTAGGTTTCTCTTCAAGCAGAACAGCCTTCTATAGGTTAAGTAAGTGTACTGGTTGAACTTGATGGACACTTAACAGACTACATTATCTGAGATAACAATTTTTGTTTTCATGTTTACATTTTTTCCTTTTTCTTTCTTTTTTCCTTAGGGGTATCAGAAGTGTAACATACATGTATACACTATGTATTTAATAAAGTATTGAAAGGAATTCACCCATATAATTGTCCTGCTGGCACTCACCGTGAGATACCGCCTTGCATTTTCAAAATCTGAGGTGTCATGTAAGTGGTATGGATTATGGCCTACAACTTTGGAGTATGTTGTTAAATGTTTTATATGTATATTTTTATGTTGTATGTTTTTTCAATTACTGTAGGTTATTCTTCTCTGCATCCAAGAATACAAGGTCTTGTGAAAGCTAATAATGTGAAATGCGTTGACATCTTGGAATATATTTGACACAGAGAATGATAAACACATGATATCTCTGTAAGGGCTGGTGTAAGTCCCAAATTTTTTTGGCTTTGGAGATATTTCAATTTTAGATATTTAGCATACCACATCCCTAAATGTTATATATGTAGTTAATGGGACAATTGTACTTCCAGTTCTGGTGCCGTATGGAGCGCAGGTGAGCTGTCCCTGTTCCCGCTGCTCTCCTCCACCGCTGCGTGCCAAAGCCCATTATACTTCAAGGCCCCACACCCCTTCGCAGCTCAGGGAATTCATGGACCGCTTCGTGGAGTGGTCCAAATCCCACTCCTCTTCAGTCCCCCGCTTGTCACAGGGGGGCACAGAGGCCTCTGCAGACAAGATGGCCACCACTGCAAAACTCCCCACTGACACAGGGGATCAGCAGAGCCCTCACCTGCCACAGCCTCCTACTCCTCAGCCTCCAGACCCTGCCTCACCAGCTAGCATCACCCACGCAGTTATGGTACTCTTGGCACCTACTCTCATGGCAGTGGTCTACAGTGCTGTTGTTAAAGAGCTAGAAAAGCTACAAAAAGATCTCCACACTCAGGCCCAGTACAGTATGCAGATGGAAGATAGGATCTCTTCCATTAAAGATGACTCATTGGCTGTTTCTGCGGCAGTAGCCCAACTCACCACGGTCCAAAGAGATCTTCAGGATAAGGTAGATGATCTAAAAAACTGCTCACGGTGGAACAATTTGCACATTATAGGTCTGCCCGAGTTGTATTCTCCCTCCATGCTGATCACCGTATTTGCTACGTCCATTCCGGAGCACGTAGGCCTGTGCCACCCCTGCATGGTTAAAGAGCGCACCGTATTGGTCCGCCATCCAACTCTCACACTAAACCTAGGCTGGTGATTTTCCATTATCTGAACTACGCTGACAAACAGGTCATCCTTCAGATATTCCGGCAAACACATGCTTTCACATGCTTTATCTATGGACGGACACCAAATGCTCCTGTTCACTGACTACGTAATGGAGGTTATGCGACAACATAAGGCCTTCTCTGAGATCTGCTCCACTCACTATCGCAGGAAGGTTAAGTTCACCTTGGCTTATCCCACTGTTCTTCATATCCAGCCATCGGATGGAGAAAGACTATCCTTCACCTCGCCATTGGAAGTGGAGCATGCCTCATCAGTATCCCTGAAGCAGCCATGGATCAAAGTTTCTCTTCTGCACCGTCTTCCTCCTCCTCCCCAAGGGGAAATTCAGCAACCTTCCAGATTCAACTGAGACCTCAAAAGGAGCGCATAAACGGGTGCGCTTTGGTCAGGCCGAAGATCGCTACGTTACCCGCTGACTTGTTTCATTGGATAATATGTAATGGTTTTCCTTGTTTTTCTTTGCTTTCTCAGGGAGTGATATCATTTGTCTTTAACGACTAATGTTTGGTATTTATCTGTCTTGTTCATGCCTCCTCTATGTCGATCCACCCTGCACACATGTCCCCTCGGATGGGCGAAGAGGGTCTTCAGGTACTTTTGTACCTTTCGCCATCCTCCCTCTTTCCTCCACCCCCAGAGTCTTGCTTTGATCACTGGAAAATCCCATTCGAACTACTCACTAGAAGAGGCCCTCTGATCAAACCTCCTGATTAGAAACACAGTATTGGCTTGGAAGGAAATGCGAAAACGACTTGACCTACCGCCAAGGATATCCTCCCATCTGCCTATTCTTGGAAACCCCATGTGCCCTGCAGCAAATGAGCACGCAGCATTCAACCACTGGTGGACTTACTAAAGTCATATCTATCTTTGATGATACCAAACATACCTTTCAGCCTTTTTCAGTACTAGCTGCCAAATACTCCCTATCGGGATCTCATATCTTTCACTACCACCAGCTGTGACCTTCCTCTGGACATGGTATTCTCCAAAACAATATCCCTTCCAGTGCACCTTTACAGAAACTCTACTACGTTATGACAACTATTCCATCTCAGCAACTTACTCTCATATACTCTCACACCAGTCTGCAAAGTACCTTTTAAGCCATGGACTCCCATACTGTCTACTGATGATGCTCCGGACAAAATATTGTCGGGATACTGGAAAATCTCTTCACTCGTCCTCTGTGAAAAATGGTGGGAAACTCAATTTAAAAACATCCACAGAGCTTACTATCCTTTCTCAGTGAATCCAAGGGTCACTCCCCGCCCTACGTGCCCTTCGTTACATTAATCATCTGTATAACATCACTCTCACCAAAGACCCTATGCTCTGTCTCTTCAATTATCAAGATCCCGCAATGTCAGCAGGTCCAAATGCTCTTCCTCGGTGGATTCATATTTGTTTGTTGGTTGCTCGCAGAGCACTCATGCAAGCTTGGATACAGCCACACCCTCCACAGCTTAAAATTATAATACATGCACTAACTGCCCTATTTAATCTAGAGAAGCTGGACACCATTACCCAGAATTTAAAATCTTCACATCGCTTCATCTCTAGATGGCAGCGCTTTATGGAACACTCCTTTACTCCTGCAGAACAGGCTACCCATATGGAACCTTTTCGATATCCGGTTTGTTATCTCAAAGCTCAACTTACCAATACGCTGGGTAAACTATGATTGCCTAACTCCTTTTGTAACCCCACTCCACAGCTCTATATTTCCCAGTCACGTAATGGAGCCCATGCTCCTCCTTATGTTTCTTAGCCCATATGAAACTCTTTCCCAGTTGTCTTTTGATAGAGATGTAATTGTTCAGGCCTGCATAACCAAACTTACGCTCCTAGGGAATTGCTTAAAAAAAATTTTGTTTTTGTTTTTCTTTCTTGGAATTCGGCCTATGTTGTACTGATTGGTTGTGACATTGATGTCTAGTTGGGTACTGCCTTTTGTTTCCATTACAGAAGTTGTATTGACTTCTGTACTCACCACTGTTATGTAAAAAAAAAATGGTTTACAGAGTTGTGTGTCAAGGTATGTTTGTACCAAGCATGTAAAATTCAATAAATATTGTTTAAAAAAACAAAAAAACAGAACAATTTTTATTTTATGAAAAGTTTCATACAACAGTGTTGTTTTTCCAAGTTAGTTGCCATGTTACATTTAAGATTTTTTATTATTTTCCAGATTTTAACCCACTGGGAGCTCTTTAAAAATAATTTCTAATTTATCATGTGCTATATATTATTTTAACTAATGTCCTTGTGGAGATAATCCCCAAGCATCATCAATATAATTACTTTTTCCATAAAAGTGGCTGTATCAATAACAGATTTGAATAAAGCCGTTAAGAAATGTCAAAGGATCTGCCTTTATCATGCATGTTTTTAAACATAAAGTAATTGTATGAAACTACAGGGGTCACTGTCAGAAGAATCCAAGTAAGTATATAAAAAATACATTCTGAAGGTCTTTGTTAAATATTCAATTGTAGCTTCAATAAATGTAGCATATATAGTATATTTATTTTATTCTAAGAATTTACACACAGTATAGGCAAATGGTAATCACACTTGTTATTTCATAGGTGTCATAATCTGTTCTTGGGTTGCCTGAGGAGTGGATATCAGAAGATATCTAGGCTTGTAATGAACCTTTATATGTCACAGAGATGTTGGGTAGGAGCTACTGCTGGGCATTATAAGAAGGGTTCATTGCCCATAAAAGGTATCTTTGACTTCTATGAGAGGACCAAGAGCCAGATTTATTAGAAAGAGATCCACTACAGCCTAAAAAGGATAGTTACTTTTCTTAGAAGAGGGTCATAGATCTGTCTAGCTGTTCTCACAAGGTCAACAATTACCTAAAGTCTAACACTACTTAGGAATATCAGTCCTATTTTTGTGCTTTTTGGGTATTCTGCATCCCTCTAAACCCACTCTTAAAAACTTAGTGCTTATTGTCACCTATTTTTCACACCTTTGCACACCAAAAACCAGACCCTGAATTGGAAATGTTCATACGGAATATACATTCCAGGTTCAAAAAGTACTTCAGTTAAGCCGTGGCATGTCTATAAAAAAAAAAATCACTTTTTTTTTAGGTCTTCAATCTAAGTGCCTTTTGCTTTTTAAAATGTGCACACTATGTAGGAATTGTGGTCATGCATACTGGGCACATGAAAATCTGTGTTTGGCAGCCATGTTGTTCAGGTCCCAGGTCACCCATGCCATTGTCAGAATAAAAGACATAGCATCAGTGACGTTCCCTCATCAGTTTATACAAGCAACAAACTTTTAGCTGCATTTTAAACACCCTTTATCTGTACTTTGATAGGATTAGCAGAATCTAACCCCAAAACAAGTCTCAGTGCCCTCATAGAACCATAAAACTTACAAGCCTGGGCAATCATCAGGAGAGCGAGAAGATATCCTGCCAGATCCCCCCCACCCATCATTAATACTTGAGTTGGAGTCATTAGCAATGCACATTGCTGCCTCTCTTCCCTGTTAAAATTCAGAAATTCAGTGTATTTCATAATTCATGAGGTATTAACAGTATAGTCAGAATAAAGACAATTACTTATATCCATTATTGAGCAGCTTTTTTAGTCCAAGCACCCCTATTATAGAACATATTGAGAGTCAAGGCGACGCATTACCCCTCCTAGGTGAACTGGACATCTAAAACCTATCATATTTATATCCATTCAAAAGGTAATTGCATGCTGGACAATATTGTACACATTAGCATAATGTAACCTGTAGGTATTCAAAGATAATAAAACCTGTAGAAAACTGGTTCTGTGGCATGATCATAAACACAGTGACATCCCATGGCCACTGCTCAGTCACTTAATTGGTCAGATCATTTCTGTCAACACCCCCACAGACATGAAAAGTGGAGCTTTCCTTGCAGCTGAGAGTTCTTGTGTACTATCGAAAAAATGAAGACCTGTCAAGTCTTTTGAGGGCCACTGTGCCACCTTGCTCATTGATTGGAGTCTGTTGAAACAGGACTCGATAGGTATTTTTCAACCCTTTTGTTTGTTGTTGCATTGTTTCATGTCTCTTTGTTACCTTTATAATAAATTTTTTCTGGAAATATTTTATTTGCACTATTTGTTACCTTTTCATTATTAAACCATGTTTTGAAAAGTGTTAAAATTGTCTCTAATGTACTAATGCAAAACTTAAAAAAATCCCTGTCTCTTGAAGAGTCCTTCTACATGGTAAATCTCTGGATATATCTGTGGTGACAGTGTATGTACAGACATTTATTTAAAATCATGATTGCTATTTGTAATATATTGAATGGGTGACAGGATGAACCCTCTAGCTGGTGGCAGCTTAAAACATCAAATGCTTAAAGCGCTGAGCAAACTGTTGGCGCTATATAAATCCTGTATAATAATAATTGCTTAGTTAACTAATCCCAATGACTATCACTGTCACTCTGTTGCCACAGATTATGGTCCTGCAAGCTGGAAAATATTTGTGCTGGTTGAGTCTGAGGGTGTTATTGTTGCGTATCAGTGACAGTGAGGTGCGTTTGGCCAGTCATTTGCCACAAGTTGGTGAAGGTGACAGTGGTCTGACTTGCATTTGTCACAGAGTTTAAATTACTTGGACTGTGCATGGCTATTTTTAATGAAGATTGCAAAAAACCCCTTGTTAAATGTGTATGCATATCCAAGAGTTATTGTACTGCACATAAGTATAAAAATTCAAACACCAGCAGTGCAAGAGATTCTATGTGTTGATTCTTGGAATAGAAGCTTCAGTAATACATACCTTCATGTATGCTGGCATTTTTTTTAACTATAGTGCACCTTCTAGAAACAGAGAGCCCGAAAGCAGCATTATCTAGAATTTCCACACCTTTTGCAAACTAGAGTTACTCTGTATGCATTGAGCATCAGTGTGCAATTTGCTAGACATGTTACATAGTTGAAAAAAGACAAAAATCCACCCAGTTCAACCATTAAAAAAAAAAAAGAAGTTATAATTCTACACCACAGTTGATCCAGAGGAAAGCAATAAACCCAGCAAATCATGATCCAATTTGCTCCTGCAGGGAACAAAAATTCCTTCCTGATCCCCCGAGAAACAATTGGATATTTCCTGGATCAACCTTACCTATAAATGTTAGTATCCAGTTATATTCTGTGTATCTAAGAAAGAATCCAGGACTTTTTAAAGCAATCCACTGAGCTGGCCAGAATCAACTCTTGAGGAGTCTATTCCACATTTTCACAGCTCTCACTGTGAAGAAACCTTTCCATGTTTGGAGATTACATTTCTTTTCCTCCAGACGTAAAGAGTGCCCCCTTGTCCTCTGTGTTGACCTCAGGGTGAATAGCTCTACACCGAGTTCACTATATGAACCTCTGATGTATTTTATACATGTTCATCATATCCCCCCTTAATCTTCTCTTCTCAAGAGATAATAAATTCGTTCCTGTAATCTTTCCTCATAGCTGATTTCCTCCATGCCTCTTATCAGTTTAGTCGCCCTTCTCTGTACTTTCTCCAGTTCCCCAATGTTCTTTTTGTGAATTGGTGCCCAAAACTGAACTGCATATTCCAGATGAGGTCTTACTAATGATTTGTACAGGGGTAAAATGATATCTCTCTCTGGAGTCTATACCTCTTTTAATACAAGAGAGGATTTTGCTCCCTTTAGAAACCACAGCTTGGCATTGCATGCCATTATTAAGCTTGTGATCTACCAGAACTCCCAGATCCTTCTCCACCATTGATTCCCCCAGTTGTACCCCCCCCCCCCCCAGTATGTATGATGCATGCATATTCTTAGCCCCCAAGTGCATAACCTTACATTTATCAACATTAAACCTCATTTGCCACATAGTTGCCCAATTAAACAGTGCATTGAGGTCGGCTTGTAAGTTGGAGACATCCTGTAAGGACGTTATTCCACTGCACAGCTTGGTGTCATCTGCAAAGAATGAAATGGGATTTTTAATCCCAGACCCTATATTGTTTATAAATATATTAAAAAAAATAAGGGTCCCAACATTGAACCTTGGGGTACACCACTGATGACCCCAGACCATTCAGAGTATGAATCATTAACCACTACTCTCTGCCTGTAGACTTTACCTTACACATTAGCTGTGTGTGGGGAACTGTGTCAAACTCTTTTGCAAAATCCAAGAATACCACGTCCACCGCCACCCCCTCTGTCCAAGGTTTTGCTCACCTCCTCAAAAAAATAAATCAGATTTGTTTGACAACTTCTGTCTTTCATAATTCCATGCTGTCTGTTGCTTAAAATATTTTTTTCCAGCAAGAACTCATCTATGTGGTCTTTTATTAAACTGTCCAGTATCTTCCCAACTATAGAAGTTAAACTAACAGGTCTATAATTACTTGGTAAAGATTTTGACCCCTTTTTCAATATTTGCACCACATTGTACAATCCAGTGGTACTATGGCAGTCATTACAGAGTCCCTAAAAATTAAAAACAATGGCTTTGAAATGACAGAGCTCAATTCTTTAAGGACCCGTGGGTGTATGCCATCCGATCCATGTGCTTTATTCACCTTTTATTCTGTCTAAATATTTTTGGATCATATCAATTGTGAGCCAATGTGGATCATCTGGAGCTGTGTCAATACCATGCCCGTTATGGACAAGAGCTCCCCCAAGCTCCTTTGTATACACAGAGCTGAAGAAGGTATTTAATAAATTTGCCTTTTCTTTGTCCCAGTCACCCTCTCTAGATTATTTTGTAAAGGGCCTACATGCTCGGACCGAACCTCCTGCTATCTTTTGCAATCTGTCGTTTGTTTTCAATTTTTGCAGCCTTTATTTCCTTTTTGCATATTCTGTTATATTTTTTGTAATGTTTAAACGATGTTAGCATTCCTTCATTTTTATATTTAATAAAAGCTCTTTTCTTATTATCTATAGCTTTTTTAACTTTGGCCGTAAGCCACATAGGTTTGATTTTTAGCCTTTTAAACTTGTTGCCCATGGGAATATATTTTGCAGTGTGTTCACATAGAGTCTTTTTGAAGAACTCCCATTTCTGTGTTGTGTTCATTGATGCCAAATATTCCCTCACAGTCTAAGTCTTGGAGAGCAGCTCTCAGCCTTGGAAAATTAGCTCTTTTAAAAGATGAGTGTTTTTATTTTTCCCGTATGTGCTTGCTGTTTACAGCTAACAATAAATGGAATCATGTTATGGTCACTGTTACCCAGATGTTCTTTTATATGGACATTCATAATAAGGTCTGCATAGTTTGAGATTACCAGGTCCAGCAGAGCATCATTCCAAGTTGGGGCCTCTATGAACTGTATCATAAAATTGTCTTTTTAGTAGTATGTTTAAAAATGTTTGCCCTTTAACTGTTCCTGCAGTACCATTACTCCAGTCAATTTCCGGAGTGGGATCATGGGGGATCATGATCGCTATTTGACATCCTTAACCACTTCCGTACCGCCATATGGCAGACATACTGCTACAGGGTGTCATGGGTGCGCAAAATCACGTATATGTACAGTACGTGATTTTGCAGTTCCGGA